CAGCTGATCAGCGGCTTCAAAATGGCCGCCGGACCAGCGAAAACATCGCTGGAGGGGTAAGTTTTGGCACCTATTGGAACGCATTAAACTAAGTTTAATGCGTTCCAATAGGCTTTTCCTGCCCCGTACAGTGATGTTTTCGCATAGCGAAGGTTAATCCGGAATGGATTAACCTCGCTATGCGGGGCACCACTGTACTGCTTCTGAAATTTGTGCTGATGGAGTTAACTCAGTTTATATAATAGGATTTTGTCCAATAACTCCATGTAGTGCTTTAATGTGCAGCTGCCTCTTTGGGCTGGTAATTCTGAATCACTTCTGGCTCAGGAAAAATTGGGCAAAGGCCACATGGTCGTGGAAACTATAAAACTGCAGGAACAGGTGATACCTTTATTCAGCCATCAGGAATATAAAAACAAAACAAAACACCACCAAAAAACAAATAGCAAACTTTCAATGATAAATCATCTTCAGGGTTGTGCAGCCCTGTTGGTAGTTCCAAAATTAAATGATGTTATTTAAGTCCAAATGTCACACGTCTGATAGTCAGGCTAGCTTCTTGCTTAGAGATGGTTTCAGTTTGCAAGTGGAAACGGAATGGTTTCAAGACCCTCCTCACCCTCCTAAGCTAAGTATTCTGCATTCTTAGGAGGCTGGAAAAGTAGAATGCATTATTTGTTGCTCTCAGTTTGGTAATTACTGTCCTAAACGGTGACAGACTGAGCTAACTGGTATGACAAATGAATCTGTCCCCTGTAATGTCTGGGATAATTCCACTGTTTTGTGGTGTTCCTGTTCTTAATACTTCTCTTTTCTCTCCTCCCTTTCCCCACTTCTGCCTTTATAGGTTATGTCTTCTGTATGTTGCATCGCCTGCCTGAACAGCATGATTGCACATTTGACCACATGGGCCGTGGGCGTGAAGAAGCCATTATGAAAATGGTGAAACTGGACCGGAAAGTGGGGAGATCATGCCAGCGCATTGGCGAGGGCTGCTCCTGAGCTGCAAGACTCTCTACAACCAAATGCCGTTCTCTTAGTTCACTAATGTTAGCCTTATTTAGGACAAAGTCAGCCAGACACCTTGTACTGGGCAAGTTTCAGACTACAGCCAATCAATTTGCTTTCTTTAGCCAACCATCCTGGTACTGTAGTTTAGGGGTTAATGGTGATTGACATTGATTTCTGGCTGGTTGTTCAGGTGCCTGCTAGCCACCATATTAAAAAAAATGAAGAAATATTTTTGAGCATGGGTAGTGGATTTTAACAAAAAAAAACCTAAAGGCTTCTGTTATTGCAGGAATCGAGCTCTTTAAAAAAGAAAGAAAAAAAAAGAATAAGCCTTATGCTGGTAAGTTTCCAGCAGCTGGGTAGAAACTGATGTAAAAGACTGCTATGTGTACATACCTCTCTGGAAGAAAGAGCCCTAACAGCCTGGTTTTCCTATCCTAGTTAACCTTGAAGGGGTGATACTCTGCTTAGAGCAGGCAGTGCAGCTGCTGAACCCAGAAGACCTAAATGGTCACTTATGCCATCTTTCCATATGTTTTCTGAGGTTAGGTAGCATCACCAGCATCAGGGACTCTCTTGGGATGGGAATCTCCTTTACGAGAAGCCACAAAGATGGAGACAAATTCTTACGACAACTTTTATATCAAACACATTACAGGGAAACTATTTCTTCACTTAGGTGGAGGAGCAGACACTTTTGTTAAAGTTAGCTCCATTCTGGAACAAGCAGTAAACAGTGTGCATTTTCTACACAGCATCTACATTGTTTCTTGAAGGGTGTTATCAGATCCCATATGCCAACCATTGTGGCTGTATAGCATCAGCCAAAACCTGATTGGCTCTTGTTTGCCTTTTGCTAAGTGCAGGTATCTGATAACTGATCAAATAAGGCTAATGCACAGCACAGTAGCCATGGCTGGATCCTACAGACTGACTTTCTGTAGCTAAACTTTTATTGAGGGGTAAAGGACATTTTGTAGCAGACAGACTTCAGTAACAGTATTGGGGAACAACCAGGAAAATCTACCCTTATTGAAGAGTTTGTATGCTTCCCTTCCAGTGTGTTAAGGAGATAATCAAAAGGGCTGTTCTAGCCTTGCAACTATGCAACTTCACTGTCAGTGAAGGTTTGTGCCCATCATCTGTTGCAAAGCAGTTGATTGTGGAATGCATTGCATGACATTGGGACTCTCCAGATGTTCTTTGGAGCTTCAGTTGTCTATTGTGGTCTATCAATCTCACTGAGCTGAACTGCACAATTTTTTGTCCTGTGCAGTGGCAGAAAAATGGCTATATCTGTCTGCCTTCAGCTATGAGCAGATGTTTCTGTAGAAGGAAGAACTCACGCTGGTGGTGGAATAGTGTGGTATATTTACCCCCCTGAGCCAGTTCGTGCTCCATTAGCAAATTGGGAATTAGGTATATAGTTGGGAATGGGAGACCTGTTGGAGGAAGGGACAGATTGATTTGTCTCACACTTGGACAAGTAGGTTACTTTGAAGCCACCTAGTGAATTAATTACCCATATGTCACTCTAAAAAAATGAGTTGTGAGTCAAACAGTTTAAATAAATCACTGACTGTTGCATTTGTGCTGAAAGTCACTCATTTACAGATTGCATTTTATTTACTTTGGTAGCCAAGTGGCCAGTGGAGGAAGCTCAGCTTTTGCCTGTATTACAGCAATGCAAATCAGTAATGAAGTAAATCTCCAACATCCCACCATTCTAAAGTTCAGTATGGAAACGCTATTTGTGTTGTACTTTGAAATCAGCAATGGGATTTCCAGCTGCATATTCAGTTTCCTAAGGAGGTATTCCCCTTCCATCGGTATGAGGGGGAAATAAGACAATTTTGTTTGCGTTTGCCATGAAGAGTTCAGGAAAAAAAAGGACTTCAGCTGCTGCCGCGCTATGCACTTTCTTCACTTATAAAATCCTAGCATAGCATTTGATGGACATTTTGATTGATATACAAGACTTCTACAGATTAATAATGAAGATGCTGATTTTCCCTTATTAATCCTTTCTTTAGCCCTGTTACAAGTGCACAGTTGGTTTCAAGGTGGCTCTTGAGCGAACATTACTCCAAGTTCATGTGGATTATGGACAATGTTCACTTTTTTAAAGTGTGTGGGGGTTGTTCCTTTGCAGTATCTGTTCTGTGAAGTTTGTAAAACGTAAAGAAAGCTTAAGTTCTTGTATCTTTAAAGAGAATCTTATTTAACCCTTTTTTGTGTTCTAGATTTACTTAACACATGTAGCCTAGAACTCCGTTTTAGTTTAACATTGTGAAAATATTAAAAGGATTGTAGTTCTTTTTCCTCCTGCTTAAAAGAAACAAAACCATTAAACAGATCAGATTAAAATTTGAATTCTTCTCTGAATTTTGCAATAGGTATGACTTAGCATAGTTCCTGCTATAGCTTAATAATTTTTCATATGTGATTGCTTATGGGGAGAGAGGGAGGACAGGGGCCTCTTTGCTACTTTGCAGCCTTCAAATGTATTTATTTCCTCCTGCTTGATATATGACAGTGTCCAATGCAGATGGAGAAACATGTGCTCAAGTGAGCAAACAGAATACTCCATTCATTCCAGTGAGAATTATGTGCAAGTGGTTAGCCAGTAAAGCACTGGCATATTTGGATTCTGTCTGGAAAGTATTCTTGAGTGTTGAGCAATTCTAAAACTTAATTCCAGGATACAAATACACTGAGTTCTCTGTGCACTGACATTATTGTTATGGCATAAAAGACAATGTATCTCTCTATACCAGATGTTCCTAAATTTATTTTGATATCACATTCACCTGGTGTTTCATCCCATGCCTACAATTCAGTATTCATGGTTATTAAGTGCACCCAACTGAATTGTATAGCAAAGCTGTACAAATGAATCCTTGGTTATCAAAGTTCTGAAAATGTACAACAATTTGAGTGCAGATTAATCTTGTTAAGCAGAGAGAAGCCCCTAGATTCTACTTGAATTAATTCCTTTTAGAAAGGAGATCCATATCTCTGTAGTTTCAAACAAAGGTTTGTGTACATATGAGCGTGTGAAGCGTTTACTGCATAAAGTCTATGTTGCTCAGTGTTATGTTAAGTTGTTTTCCCACAGAGGAAGTCAAGGTTCAAAAAATAATAATTCTCTTATTCTTTTCTGTTTTGTATATATATTGTTCTCTGTTTAAAAGCCACTGCATTTGGCTTTGGTTTCAGTGTTTTGGTACTGGTATCATTCTAGCTTCTATGGGTAAAAGGCATCACTGATCTTAATATTTGCATTATATTGTTCTTCTGATGTTTCTACAACAGCTTTTTTTTCTGTATTACATTCATTTTTATTTAGCCCAGAGTCATCATGAAGTTTCATTAAGAAGCTTGAAGGTCATCTTCTCCATGAGCTTAATTCCATCCATCTAGAGCTACTTGCACCATATCCTTTTGTGGCCTAAGATGCATTTTTCCACTCCACTTTGACAGCTATTGCCATGTTGATGCCAGTGTTTGAGAGATGTGAAATAACAGCAACAATAAAAGCCAAAATATTGTGGCATCTTTAAGACTAATCAATCAATTTCTGTGTGATTACAATACATTGTTGAAGTGAAATAAGGATTTTAGTCTTAAAGGTAGCACAGTATTTCTTTGTTTTGTTTTTTTGCTGCTAAACAGACTAACATGGCTAACCTGAATGTCCAATATTACAGTTTCTCCATATGACACCCACCCACTGGCTGTTTGCCTTTATTTTCACTGTTGTTCAAAGGCAGTGGTTCTGAACCTTGAGTAACCCAGGTGCAATTCCCAGGACCCTTCACCAGCTGTGCTGGGAGTTGCAGTCCAAGAACACCTGGATTACTCAAAGTTGGGAGCCACTGGTCTTTCTTGGGTATGGATCGAGCTGCCTCACAATCCTATTGGTGTTTGCATACAGTTTGTAACATGCAATTGATTAATAAGACCAGAGCATATTTGCAAGCAATCTAGATGGGTGAATTTCAGCACATGATGAAGTGGCCTTCTGCAAATTGTCCAAATGAGATGCATTTCAGCTCTTCATTACTTAGCTGCAGTTGTCTATGGCAAGTTATGCAGGCCTTAGGCTAATGCCAATAGGATTCCAGTCACTAGCATTTAGAGTACCTTGGTTGCGATTCTGTGTCTGAATCCACCGTTAATTATTATACAGAATATAAAATAAGGTACTGCTTTATTCATGTTGTCTTTCTCCAATATTATCTAGGTAGATTATTAAGCAAGCATAAGATATGACTTGCTGCATTTCAAAGCTTTCACTCACAATGATCCATCCATATGTACTTCCTCTTCTGACACAATAGTCTTCTAATTGATGGAATATTATGTACAAGGAAAATACTGTTGTTGTTTTTCTTCTGCAACTTGTTAATTTATTTTAAGTTTACTTGTACCTGAGCCTTATAATTTTTGAACATACAATCTATATGTATAGTATATGTCCAGGAAAGCATTACATGAGATTCATGCTTTTCAGTAGAGTGCTGTTGTGATATGCACTGGCCCATACCTGGGCAACATTACCTTTGCACATCTATTCCATACTAAAGTCTATTTCATATCATTGTATTCGCGAAGGCTTTCACGGCCGGGATCTAATGGTTGTTGTGGGTTTTTTGGGCTCTTTGGCTGTGTTCTGAAGGTTCTTCTTCCTAATGTTTTGCCAGTCTCTGTGGCCAGCATCTTCAGAGGACAGCAGTGCTGTCCTCTGAAGATGCTGGCCACAGAGACTGGCAAAACGTTAGGAAGAAGAACCTTCAGAACACGGCCAAAGAGCTCGAAAAACCCATAACAATCTTTCATATCATTTGCCACTTTTCTGTCTAGGGGACTAAGGTGGCTCACGATCAAAACCACACAATAATCACCTTTAAAATCGTCTCTAAATTCAGTAGGTACAGCATTGCTAAAAATAAAAAATAAAAACTTACCACTTAAACCCTTCCTGAAAAGGAACGTATTTACCTGAGGATGGAAGGACAAGAGGAAGGAGGCCAACCTGCCTCAGGGCAGTACGTTCCAAAGTCTAAAAGCAGCTACTGAGAAGACCCTTTCTCACATCCTCACAAGCCTATGATGATGGTTGAACTGAGGGAAGGGTCTTCCCAGAAGATCTTAAAAGCAACTAAGCTCATATAGTGCAATACAGTCCTTCAGATAGGGGACTTTATAGGTCATAAGCAGCACTTTAAATTTGGCCTAGAAACAGACTGGCAGCCATAGAAGTTGTTGTAATAGGAAAATTATGTGCTGTCTGTAATCTGTGTGAGTCTGCAGTTGTACATACGCTTTTGACCAAGATGTGGAATACAAGCTGTGTTTTCAAGAATGCTGTTAACTCTTATCACATTTAAGCTATGCCTTAATCTTCTGTATGACCCTATTGTGAAAGAAGTGTTACTAACTAGATACAGTAGTATGTCTGAGTCCTCCTCCTCTGTTAAATTCTGTACTGTACTGTTATCAAAGCAGAAGACATAGCAATCTTCAGTAAGACGCCAGAACAGAAGGCATACAGGGACAGGTTGCGTGACTGGAAATCAATACATCTGATTACATTCTCAAAGTGCAAATGTGATGTATGGTTTTAACTTGTATTTGTTAAAATTGATTTAAAGCAAAGAATTTGTCATGTGCACTGAAAGGGAGATCTCATTATTCTAAATATTTATTCTAAACTGGATTGAATGAGATGTGTTCATAGCTATAATATATGCTCATTTACAAAAGGATCATCATGATCTAATATCTCAGTGAAATGGAGCATCTAGCTGGGCTTCAATTCCCCACTGTACCTTCCAGAATAGCCATCCAAAGTAGTCTTGGCCAAGGTACGCCATCCCAGAGCAACTGTAGAAGAAGTGACTGGTAAACCATTTCTGAGTAATCGATACCTAGAAAAGCTAAGTAGGGTTGCCATTAAGTCATAATTGACTTGATGGCCCATCATCATAATCACCATCATTTTTATTACCTAGAGATAACATTTTGTGGCATATCTTTGGACTTCTCTTTCCTAGAGCAGTGGTTCCCAACCTTGGGTCCCCAGATGTTCCTGGACTAAAATGCTCAGAAGCCTTCACTACTATTTTTGCTGGCCAGGATCTCTGGGAGTTCTAGTCCAAAGACATCTGGGGATCCAAGGTTGAGAACCACTGTTCTAGAGGCCCCAGCCAAAATGGCAATTGGAAAAAATTATAAGAGTTGTAATCTATAATGCTTCTAGGATAAATTTTCCATAATCCTCTCTTATGAATGACAGACGACATAACCAAACACTGTGTACTGCTTTTTACACTCCTTTGGGTTTTTGGAAGTTGAACAATCTAGTTTGCTGAACTCTAATAAAACGTAGTGTTCTGGCTTCTATATAAGATTTGTATGTCCTTACCACCTCCACTAACTCACCTCTGTTTTGCTTAACCTAAGCTTACAAATGTTTACTCACCATGGGTTCAATGAGTTTTATTCCCTACTAATTGCTGAAGATTATATACATTGCTCCACTAGAAAATGTCAGTTTAATTGTTCTAGAAAGGAACAGA